ATTAGAATCTTCAGCGTCAGTTTTCAGTGAGAATACAGAAGAAGCCAATGATTGTAAATCACCTATGTATAAAACAAAACAAACTGCAGAGGAATGCAAGTGCTGCAGGTTTGCAAAAGATGATACACACTTTACTAAGGAAGAAGATGTAAACATCTCACCAAGTCATCTGGAAAGTGTTTTACACAATACCTTCTCAATAAGATCTAACATTGTACAAAACAAAAATGACTCTATTGATGAGACCCTAGAAGATTCAATTGGCATCCATGCTTCATTCTCTAAATCTAACATTCATCTTTCAGATGTAGATTTTACTCCTTCAAGCAGAGAAAAAGAAACTAGAAATACATTGACGAACATTTCAGAAAACCACATTAATCACTCATGCCAAGCAAATGCTTCCTTCAGCCCACCAAACAAATGCCAAGCAAATGCTTCCTTCAGCCCACCAAACATTTACAAGCATAGTAATGGCAGGATATTTGAATGCCTGGATGAGTTTTCATCACCAGAGCCAAGTGACCAAAAGAGTACTGTGCATCTGAATCCAAATTCCAGAATGGAGAACAGAGAGAAATCTTTAGATAAAACAGAAAGAATTGGCAAAAATGTGGAAAGACTTGTAAGAGAAGCATGCACCCATAATGTGGCATCTAAGTCATTGCCTTTTCTCCATGTTCAAAGCAAAGATGGTCACACCACTCTTCAATGGCCTACAGAACTTCTGCTTTTTACAAAAACAGAACCATGTATCTCTTATGGCTGCAACCCACTATATTTTGATTTTAAGCTTTCTCGGAATGTAAAGAATTCCCATAATTCAGAGGACTTAAAACCAGAATTGGGTAAGGAACTCCTGAAAAGGAAGACTAAAATAGAGAGCCAAGTCTCAGGTTTAATCAAAGATCAACAAAAATTGATCCCAGAGGATAATCAGTCTCTAAAACCAAAGATGATGATAGCTAAACCAGATTGGGAAAATTTCCAGAGAAAATATGATTTAGGCTACAACGATTCTGAGCCAAGTAAAGATGAGCATAATTTTATTCCAAATGATTTGGAAATGGAAAATCCTGAAGTGCCTGCTTACCTTGATACATCTCTAAAGAATTGCTTAGGAACCAGTAATAATAATGGTAATGAACTTATGGAATCTTCAAGGGCCCACTGGAAAAGCTGCAGAAGGTTACTTCTAAATGATGCAAATGAGAGCCTATCTTTTCCTCCTTATATTTCTAGGACTAAAACACATAAACCAATTCCTTGCAATCCTCCTGCAGGGTTTGAAGATGAAAACCAATTCAACTGGAATTCTAATTGTTGTACAGTAGAAGATCATAGTGACCATCAAAACGACTTCAGTGTAATTTTGAATAGTAACCACATCAGCATGACAAGTAGTATTTCTGGATGTGGAAACCGAAGTTACAGGAGAAGCTCTCCAAAGTCATCTCTGACTGGACGTTCTAACTCTTTAGATACATCCCCTAGCAGCATGTCCAGGTTGAGAAGTAGCTGTTCAAGTCATAGGTATGATAGTAATGGCAGAGATAATTGGCTCTACTTTTGTAAAAAAGAACACAGCTCAGTTGAAGGGCACAAACGGAAATGCAGAAAGCGCAACTGCTTCTACTTGTCTGATGAGATAGCAAAGGGCAACCGAATGCAGTCAGAAACACAGAAAGAGAGGAACTGCAAATTGTGGGAGTCATTTAAAAATGAAAAATATTCAAAACATAGATATTGTCACTGCAGAGAACGACATAAACC